GGCCGGGCGGAGCTGCCTGCTTGGAACGTTCAATGAGCTACACTAAAGATTTTTCTTGTTATAGAATATACAGATTTCAAGTTACTCTAAACGTTTATTTAAAATGTTTAATACATTTTTCATATTTCTTATTTTATTAATGTTATACTTTTTGAAAAGTAATTGATATTTGTAACTGGTAACATTGTGTTTTCATATTTTGAGGTACCTTCGTGTATTTATTTATTTATTTATTGGGTCTACCAGCGATTATACATAATTAATATTTCTTAAACTATTTACAATTTACATTACATGCACACGATATGTAAAATCATTCAAAGGTAAACCTAAATACTACATGCTAATTTCGCTTAATATTACTTAATAAATCAAAAATGAATTAAAAACAGAAATCAACCAAAACCAGAGACAAACAAAAAATAATACAAAAGTAAATCTGTAAAAGTCTAACAAGCCCTACCAAAATATTTAGTGAAACAAATATGTAACTCAAAATTGTATATATTATAAATGTATATTAAAAGGTAAATGTCAATCATCGTAGTACGATAAAGTCATAGTAAGTTCATATACTAATTAAATTTTGTATACAATAGATAACTCCGATGTTTGAGCGGAATGCTTTCACTCGCAATGCCACAGAATCCATCAACTGGATTAGCGACTTTAGTGTCGAGTCGAAATAGCTTCCTGTTTTCCAATTACCGTCGGTAATCTTGTTTAGACCAACAGTATATGTCTTTTCATTTTGCACAGCTTACAATTAATGCTTTTAATACTGCTTCAAAATATTTATTTTATAAAAAAAATAACTAAAGAAAGTAAATAACATATAAATTATAGAGTGAATTAACAACACATGGGCTTTATTTTAATGACCTACCTGCACGTGAGCAAAACTGCAACCTTTAGTATTATGATGATGTATCAAATTGACAGTGTAAGTTAGCAAGAATAAAATAACTATATTTTCCTTCCAAAAAAAGCTATTATATTTTTTACTAATTAACTTTTAAAAGTATTGCCGCACAATCACTCGTACGAGCACAAAGAGCCCGCCAACCGGATTAGCGATGGCTGTACGGAATACAGAAAGCTCCCGACTAATAGAACGTTCTTGCTAAGCAGCTTTATAACATAAGACAAATTGAAACGTTCGTACAAATTCAATTTATAAAAAACGGTGAGGATTGTAACATCCTTCATAATCCTGCGTATTGTTCATCTTATTAATATTATAAACGTGAAAGTTTGGATGATTGCTTCTTAATCACGCCAGAACAGCTAAACAGATCTGGATCAAATTTGGCACAGAGATAGATTATAGTCTGGTCAAACAACAGGTTACTTTCTATCCTGGAAAACTGAACGGATCTTGTGGATAGAGTTGTTTTTGTTTTTATAGAGTATTTAATGAGAAAAATTCGTCCAAGAAAACGAAAAATTGGGATAACCTGATACCAACTTTATTGGGTCATATTTTGTAATAAAGTTGTTCATACGATCTCAAAAATATAATGTAATCAAAACGACATATCGTGTAGTGTAAAGCACCCCGTTTACTCGGCTGATACTCCGGTAGTACTGCCAGGAGCGTTTTATTAATTCAGTTGTTGAGTTTCTTCGAGATTATCCTGTTCGCTACAATTACGTAAGATTGCAGCCACTCGGATGCGCTTTTCAAGAACAATTATTTGCCTTACACAACTTCCTTAGCATTTATTTTAAATATGAAAAGTGTATTTTGAAATTTGCGTTCTTTTTATAAGGTTACTGGAATTTAATATTTTTAAATAATCTCAAGCACATTAAGGGCGTACCAGAATAGCGGGATGATAGATGTGACAGGTTTGATTACCGAACGTCAGAGATTATCTTTCGATATACATTGAGAAATCATATTATGGTCGTAAAATCAATTATAACAGAAGTGTTACACAACCAGTTGTCCTTACAAAGTTTCAATTCAATGATTAGTGGTTGAAAACCTTCGCACGAATCCAATTTACATTTAGTCGGTGACAATAATAATATTCTGTGAATATTTGGCCTTCTTATTTCGATTTTTAGAGAGCTCTAAAACATCTGCTTCTTGAAGTTGCTTTATTTATTATATTTCATATTATATATTTAACAAAAAGTGTATAAAGAAGGAACAATTAAATATAACAATTGGATTACATTTAATACAATCGTAACACAAAGGCAACACGTAATGGATTTCCGATAATCTGAAGTAGCGCTATCCTCCCTACGTAACTTATTACCCGCGCTGTTGTCGAGTGTGTTTCACTTATTAGTGCTGCATGAATTACCTTTGATCCACGGGTTTACATACAATAAAAAAAACTAACTAAGTTGTACCATAATTACATGAGATACACTAGATACCCTTCGTATTTGTATTCAGCCCTTTTTTAACGTCCCTCTCTCGCGATTTACCCTCGCTTCGCTCGGGTTCGTCCCTAGCTTGCTTCACGATACAAACTTTTTCACCCGATGATTTCCGGGATAAAAAGTATCCTATGTCCTTCCCAGGGTCTCAAACTATTTTCTTACCAAATTTCATCTAAATCGGTTCAAACAAACAACAAACACAACAAACAAACTTTACCTCTTTATTAGTATAGATTAGCAAGACTGGCTATGATCCGTGTAATGTGAACACGAAACACTACATTAACTATGTAGAACGCGCGTGCAACGAGATGCTACGAGATGCTACGAGATGCTACGAGAGATACAATTAAATATTTTAAAAATGCTAATGGTTACAGGAAGCCTCTCGAAGTACTTGGCAAGCGATGCCACTTTGCATTACTCCCCGCGTACAGAGAGCTGCAATTTATACTGTTTATAGTTGAATGCAACCTGTATCTACATAAGTACATACACACATAATATCGACATATAATGTTTAAACATAATTTTATTAGAAGAGCATTAACTATTTTTTCTGTAAAGTTAATTTCACAATAATAGTAATTATGGATCAGACGAATACACCCTGATTTACATACATACATATGTACATATATATAGTTCAAAGCTCAGTTATATCCCAGGAGAGCCTTATTAATTAATGAGAAAAGCGCATAAAAAGGCAAATCAATTATTCTTTTACGAACTTTCACTAATGACTAACAAATCTCTAAAATATGTATTAATATAACTATAACATGATATTTATATACAATGTTTATTTCCGAAGTTACACCAGTAATACAATCTAGCTATTGGATGGAAGTGGTTCAGGCAATTGATCGCGCCGAATGAATACGCAATACCCGTACTGAAGACATCGGCCGTCTCACTGCTGTAAGTATGGCGTAAACACTCTGTGGATTTTGCGAACTGAAAACACATTTTCAGTAACCAATTAGAAACAATTTACCGATTTTATTTAAAAAAAAAAACACATGTTTGAGTTTTCCCATTAGAAAGCCCTCAGTAAGTTCCGATTGGTTATTACTTTAATTTTTAGCACGAATTTTTGAACATAATTATATATTTAAAATAGGTATTATTAATATTTTTTTATTATCTAAATTTTAAACAGGGATCGATTATTATTATATAACATGGCAACATTAACATTTGCAGTGTATGATTTTGTATATAATACTTTCTTAGATTTACGCGAATGTTTGACATTATTAAATAAAACTATCTTTTCGGATTATTTCGCGGATTTATTTTGATTTTTGGTTCCCGACGTTTCGAATGCTTTACAGCATCCATGGTCACGGGAGAGACTGAGGTGTTACATGTCTTAAAGATATAGTTGTTACAGACAGCCTACCCACAATTAAGAAAATGAAAAAATTTTCAACTATATCTTTAAGACATGTAACACCTCAGTCTCTCCCGTGACCATGGATGCTGTAAAGCATTCGAAACGTCGGGAACCAAAAATCAAAATAAATCCGCGAAATAATTCGAAAAGATAGTTTTATTTAATAATGATTTTGTATATGTTACTCGACATATTCGATAGTTATTAGTTGACTTAATTGGCTCATTTATATTTTGTTTTCAATTAAAAAGTTATAAAAAAATTATATCATATCAATTCCACAAAAAGCAATAGCAATAATTGATTTAAAATAATTCTGAAATCGTACATACATACGTCATACATACATACATACATATTACATATGTATATATATAAAAAAATCACTGATCTCACAACTTGCACCACACACCAACAATCTACGCGAAACACACAATATGTTTTGATATCCTCTCATCATTTCCTCTATATCTAAATTTTACTAGTGCCAGGGAAAATCAAACCGTATTGCGGCTTAACAGGGTACATTTTTCACTGAGTACATTTTATCCTTGCTCTACATATTTAGTCAAACAAAATTAAACTTTATGTATATGTAGATATGACCTATATAATAAAACGTAACTACTCGTAGATACAAAGTAGTGCCAAACGAAATTGTGCTATATGAAGTATCGATAATATGATTAATATGCCACTTTACTTAAGTTTATCAAAGGAAAAATAAGGCTTTTACAAATTTATTATTCTAGTAAAACTTCTTTCTTTACACACGCTTGACTGACGCTTTTTTTTAATGCCATTTAGAATAAAGAAGTGTTACAATTAGAAATTTGATAGCGGCGGCATATATAAATATATGAACATATTTAATTTCTATGTGACATTGGCTAAGTAAATTGCCCAACTGGCGCTCCTAGAAGTCACGAAATAAAAGAATTCAGTTGAATTGAACATATTTAACACAGCGTCATCTATGATGATGGGTATTAATGTTTTTTGTCAAATTGTGGCGACTGTAAAACGAGGATAATATGAAAAATTACATGTAGTTTAAATGAGACACCTACCTACTAAACTTAAGCTATAAAGCCAATAGTCTCCGCGTGAAAGTAAAATGGCTGAGATTCACGTATGTACATGCGAGTATTATAGGGGTTCCGATTTAACCATTTGGCTATGGAATCCTAAAAAAAGACTAAAGAGATTGTTCGTTCACATAGACAGATGGGCACTGACCTGCGTCGGGTCGGTCGGGGCGGTCGGGGCGGTCGGGGCGCGCGGGGCGCGGCGGCGGGCGCTTGGGGCTGTGGCGGCGCGCGCGCGCCAGCACCAGCGGCTGCGGGATGAGCTTGTCGGAGCGGTCGCCCGAGGGCAGGCGCGCGATGGTCACGTCGGCGCTGTCCTCGGGCGGCGGCGGCTGCTGCAGCCAGTTGTACTCGCGCTTCTCCACCGGCACGCCGCGCCGCTCGTAGTCGCCGGCCTGCGTCCTGCACCAACACGAATAAATGAGAGACCATACAACCGGGTTTAGAGTTAGGCCCTATAAAATGGTCACCGATTTAAAACGATTTTAGAAAAATCTTGTTACCCATTAAATGTGTAACCCACCTTCTAGCAAATGGAATGTGTTAATCATTCGTAATGATAGCCCTGTTATAAAATTAACCCTATCATAAGGGTTACCATATCGCTTACGAGTCAATCTATGAGGTCAACACTTATTTTCTTTTTAAGGAGTGATAATGGAATATAACTCATAAATTATAAAAAATAAAACCTATTTTCTTTATAGCAGACTAGGAAATATGCGTGATCTTTTTATGCAATAGCTTACTATAGTCTTGTATAATTGTAAAAAAAATATCCAGCTCCAAAAAACTAAAATTTAATATATATTTTTTTTAAACATTATACTAATACAAATACTTCAAGCGCCTGCCATTTCCCGCGCTTCGCGTGACATCACAATATGATATAACAAAGCTAGATGTTGCCAAATTAACGCTAAAAATGTCAACTTTTGCTTCAGAAAAACGCCTGACCAATGGCGTGCGTTTCAACTTGCACTTTGAATTCTTTACATATATTTGCACTTTTTAATAATTATTATTTTCTTAATCGAAAAGAAGTTACATTAAAAGATATTAATATAGGCTTAATTTTAAAAGCAATAAAGATTATAAAAATAATATTTAACTTTAATATTATTTCACGTTATTTAAATCACATATTCCCTATTGCTAAATAGCTTAAGGGTTGACGGTTGAATTAATATCAAAAACGATCACCTGTTTTATACATTTTTATAATGTGGTTTAACATAGTCAGTATAAATATTATAAATGTGAAAGTTGTGAGTATGTATGGATGATTGTTACTCTTTCACGCCAGAACGGCAGAACGGATCTGGTTGAAGTTTGGCACAGAGATAGATTATAGTCAGGAATAACACATAGGCTACTTTTTATCCGGGAAAAATATACGGTTCCCGAGAGATAGATTTGTTTTTGTGTAAAAAATATTATTGAACTATTGTAAACAAAATATTACCTTAAGCTTTCATAACAGTCTAAACAAACAACAGCGTAGTCTCCATTTTCTAATAACAACGAGTTCTCCGTCCGCCTTTGCATTAAGAAGGGGAATTCCTATAAAAATAAATGCAAAATAATTAAATTCATTCTTCTTAAGATTGTCACTTTCGTGCATAACATATATTTTGTTAATATCCCACTGCTGAGGGTGGGCCTCCTTTTACTACAGGGGGAATCAAGTCATAGTCAACCCCACCGGCTAAGTGTGGGTTTGGACTTCACAAAAACGTTTGAACTTGCTAGTTTCTTTCAAACATGCGGTATAGCACTATCCGCTACACTCTAACCTGAACCCTATGTACACACGGGTTACCTCATGTTTTCCTTTACCATAAGACAAGTGGTAATCATGTTTGATAAGAAACGCGAATGCCAACATCAGCGGTGCGTGAGCCGAGATTTGACCCCGATAAACTTGGGTTAATAAAATGTTGTGTACATAAATAGGTCGTTTGGACGAATAATAGCAGTTTTCCAATTACAGCACTAAAGCGCATTATGTGGCATAATGTTCAACTTTGGATGTTTCAACTGCAACAACGCCCCGCACGATTGAGCACATTGAAAAGTATTGCTTTGGCGTGTTTCTTGTATTATTTTATATATATATATTGTTTGGCGTGTGTCTTTAACGCACCGGTTGCGCGCAACCGGTGCGTTAAAGATATAAGGAGCGTTTTCCGCGTCTTTCGTGTTTGTATGTCAAAGTGCGGCATTATGGTTTGTAATTGGACGTAGTTAGGCAAAATGAATCCAGCCCACGAAAACGGTTTATTGAGTTACTGTCATAAATGGCACCTAGATAAGAACTTATATATAGAAAGTAAATAAAATACCCAACATTTAAGTGGGTTTTCAAAAAACCACGGTCTTGTTATTTTGATATACCAATTTGACTAAAAGTCTTATTTTCTCAAAGTATTTGTAGTCGGATGTATCACCTTGATGGGCAGCGCGCGCACGCGCTTGCGGTAGGTCTTGATGCCGCAGAGGTGGCAGTGGTAGTCGTGCGTGTTGTACGCGCGCCGCTCCGCGCCCACGCCGCCCAGCGCCTCGTATCTGCGGCACACACACACACGTTACTCACTCTGCTTTATATATTATTATTATTATTAAAAAAATACAAAGTAATTAGTACATATTATTATGGAAAAGACAGTTTTATTTGAAATCTCAAATATTCGTGTGAATCTGAGTAACTGAATAAAAACGACGAGGGACACGTACCGTCGCCACTGGCTGAGCAGCGAGTGGTAGCAGAAGGTGCAAACCAGCGCCGACCCGTTCTCGCGCAGCTGCTCCGCGTTCGGGTGGCTCTGCACACACGACATATATATTATATACACAATTATATACTACGCGTACAATCTGTACGGACAAATAAAAGTGTAATGTGTCGCTGAAATTTATAGTTTTATTTTATTAATAATATATAATATAATAAAAACCTATAATCAAGTGAATAATAATTAATTATTATATTTATTTTATTATCTTCACATTATATACCTACATTTAAAATAATACAACACAAGATAATATACTACACGTAGAAATAAAATTAAATGTAGAAATAAAGTAGAAACTTCAACAGTATTCATTGTTTTAGAATGTAGAAAATCAAATCGATTCAAAAGAGAATTGATTATTTTATTGTAGTCCTTCCAGTGACTTACGTTAAAATCTAGGTAGATGGATTATTTTTTAATAGCATTTCAATTTATCCCCGCTTTGCTCGAGCGCGTTCCTAGATATCTAACAGTAGCCTATGTGTTACTTTATTTCACATAGGTTTCTTCCCCATATAAACTTTCATCCCCATGTTGCACCCCTTAATCCATCCCATCGTCTCAAATTATTCCTACCAAATTTCATCTAAGCCGGTTCACTAGTTTCGGAGCTCGTTCGGTAGAAACAAACAAATGTTTCCTCTTCATAATATAGTATGGAGCATGGTACCTGGTGCGTGAGCAGGCAGGGGAAGTAGGGCGCGTTGCCCTGCGGCTGCCCGAACAGCACGCGCGCCAGCGTCAGGTCCGAGTGCAGCCCGCACAGGAAGCAGTAGATGGACGTGCACGCTGCACATACACAGACACACATTATAAATAATGAACACTCCATAAAATAAATAAAAATAGTTTTATTTCTCAATCATCTTAACAATAATATATTTGAGTCTTCCTTAATACTTTCTTATTTAATTGTGGCTTTTATCAAATCGACAATTATTTTAAGACACTTTGTTGCAATTTTTAAATTTTTTGAAATCATTTTGTAAAATTGTGGGTAGGTACTGGTTGTAACAATTAGTGTATAATGCCTTTGTGACGTCTAAAACCTTAGTCTCTCTCTATAAAATCATAAGGTGGATGTATTTTATGCAAATAATAAATACGCCAGTTTGTAAGACTTTGTTGAGAAACAATATCAACCGAACACTCACAGCATTTATTTCTAAAACAATCTTAATATGTATATTTTATTTAAATAAAAAATGCCAGCTCAGAAGATTGTTGTTGTCACAGGATAAACATCATCGTACCCAAATTGTTATAAATTTAATATTTATTTAAAATCCCATAGAAAGTATTTCCAATTTTGCCTCAATATCCTAATTTCCCGGGCAATTTTTCCAAATTTTTCTCCTAACAATCAATTTTAAGACGATAATAAATACCTCAATCGATTCGACCATTCTCAAGTGACACTCTTATAGTATTTTATTTTTGTTAACATTAAAATACAAGAATGTTATATTTATTAATTATCTTCCATTATTATCACCTAGAACTTATTCCACGCACTTATAGATAGCAAAAATTGTATAAAAACAATTAGATACATTATATATATATATATATATATAAACAAACTGTGAAGCTGCTTAATGTTTAACCCGTTTTGCGGGACTCGAACTCTGAACCTCTCATATTCACCATAAAAACAAACATCATGAAAATCGGCCTTTTATAAATGTAGACATTTTTGTGAGAGTACTTCTTTTCTTTTAATATCCATTATGAAGATAAAGGGACAATTCATTTCACAAAAGAAATAGACACAGAGGGAGAGAGATAGAGAGAGTTTACAATAAAACTATGTATCTTTTCGGATTATTTATATTATTATCGACGTTTCGAATGCTTTACAGCAATCACGGTCACGGGAGAGACAAGATGTTAGGTGCCTCAAAGGCGTTATACAGTGTGTTAAAAAAACTCTGTCCGATCGGAAACCAGTGTATAGGTATCCCAATCACATGACCAAATAAAATAAGAAATATAAAATATTCATGATAGTAAACATATTAATGAAATTTAAAAAGTTCATTTATTTTGCTAATTTCCCCACAATTCTAGGAAATTTTATAAATGTACAACACTAATTTCGGCGGTATTATAATCATGTGGCGGCGGCATCTTTGATGTGTGCCGACAGACGATGCGCCGCCCGTTGTCAAAGGTACCGCTCGGCACGTGTAGAGGCTATCCCGACCTTGAATTACATACTTACGATCATTATTTGTTTGCTTTATTATTTATTTCACTTAAAATTATGTCAGTTTCGCGAAACATTGCATCCGAGTGCACGTGTTGGAGAAATTGAGTTTTAACTATGTCGTATACGAATGAAGAGTACTGTAATATGATAATGTGTTTGGGGAGGAGTGACTGCAATTATGCAGAGGCTCATAGAGACTATGAAGTGCGTTTCGCAGTTCCGCGGGGTACCATGGTGCCGTCAGAGCGTGCGGTTCAACGTCTTCACAATCGTATGTACACCACGAGCAGTGTTCACGGCTACGAAACGCATCATGCTTGATACAAGGACACCGCGTATCGACATGGATATTGAAGAGCAAGTGCTTGTGTTATTCAATGAGGACCCCACCCGAAGTACTCGTTCTGTGGCACGACAACTGGGCGCTTACCACGTTCAGGTGTGGGAAGTGTTAAAAGAAGATGGCCAGCATCCTTTCCACTACCGTCGTGTCCAAGCTTTACTACCCAGTGATTATGAACCCAGAGTGGAATATTGTGCATGGATTTTAAGGAAAATTGAAGAGGACGCTGAATTTTTAAAAAGGGTTATTTTCACCAATGAATGTTCTTTTCATAGAACAGGCGTCTTTAACAGCCGGAATGAATATGTGTGGTCGACGCTAAATCCTTACGCCCATAATCCGTGATAACCTTTTGCGACGCTGTCAAGCCTGTATCACTAGTAGAGGCCGTCACATGGAACAACATCTCCATCACAGCCATCGCATTGGCGTCCTCATCGAATAACAGACTACCTACTTACAAAATACAAATTGATAAGCGTAGTTTGAACTTTGAGGTCAACTGCGTTCATGACCTTATGACGTCACCAGTATTGCTATGTAAGTTTCACAATGTATGGGTAATTTTTTTTTACTTGGAATCTGTTTTTTTTTACATAAATAACCTAATAATACCTTCACGGATATATTCGTTACATACAGTCTTGACTGTCCGCGAAATAATTCAAAAACATAAGTTTTATTTAAAATGTCAAATATTCACGTAAATCTAAGAAAGTATTATATAGAGAGAGATTGCAAGTTAGTGAGTGAGACGGCGTACCGCTGTTGCTGGCGACGGTGCGGTCGGAGGTGGTGGAGGGCGGCGTGGGGATGACGCGCTCGCCGTTCAGCGACATCGGCAGCGGCGACGGGATGTTGTACCTGCCGTACACACACACATACTTGTTATCTTTATATCGTAGACTAGCGGACGTTTACACGTTTGTATGGAATGGATACACTATATAGTATGTATATATAGTAGGTAGGAGTAAAAAACGTTTTTTTCGTAATTTGAATTTGTAGCTTATAAAAAAACAAAAAATTTGAAATAAAAAGTTTTTTTTTTCACTCAACATTTTGAGGTGGCCCACTGATTTTTAAAATAAATAATTAATTTTTGGTTTGAATGATTTTTTTTCGCGTAATCATCTTTGAAAATATACAAGAATTGACGTATATAGTCTTTTTTACTCAACTTTCATTGTAATACAAAAAAAGTAACATGTATTTTTTCATTTGTTTTAAACTGCAATAATGCAATATTACAATGAAAGTTGGGTATGATGAGTTTTATATCTCTTACTTGAGAAATTATTGATTCCCTATACAAACATTCATCCCCCTTTTTACCCTTTTAAAGGGTTATTTCCGAGATAAAAACTTAAACTATCTTCATGCCAAATTTTATCTAAATCAGTTCAGCGGATTTTTAGTTTATCCATTACAAACAAAAGTACACTTTTTTTCTCTTTATAATGTTAGTATAGATAAGTTCGCGTAGCTACAAGTGCTACGACTGGGCTAACATCTACGATCGTCTACGATACATGCCGTAGAAGTTTTTTACTTACGTAGCAGCACTACGCATTACCTAACTAATTATGTATTATCTTTTGTATTAGTAATATTTACAATTACATATAGTATTTAACCAAAACAACCTGTACAATAATAATCTTTATTGAATTTTACACATCCAATAATTATGCTAAAAAATAAACAAATAATATATTTATTTATAACACGAATAGTTAACTTTTAATAGCGCTTTAATAGTTTACAAGAAAAATTACAATTTTTTTTTTAATAAAACAAAAAAGAAATTAATAATCGTCATCCACGCCATACCTCCTGTGCTCCAAGGGCACCCGCTCGGCGTCCATCAGCTCCCACTGGCGCGCCAGGTGGCGCACGCAGCGCGAGCACGCCAGCACGCGCCCGCCCGCCCCCGCGCCCGCGCCCGGGCCGCCGCCCGCGCCCGCGCCCGCGCCCGCCAGGCACGGGAAGTGCATGGCGTGCGAGTTCATGTACTCCGCGCTGGTGGAGAGCCACTCCATGGACTGCTGCGGGAAGAGGCCTGCGCACACGTAGCACCTGCGGTTGTTTATTTATTTGTTAGAAACTGGAGATAGCGTTTCAAATATACATGTCAATCATTAATATATGGTAAGACGTGGGTTGACAGACATATAGGTTGTTAAAATTCTAATAACGGTAATTAAATTTAATTAACACATTTCCCGTTACGATTTCGCTATTATATATAAATAGAGTAATATTTTATAGGATACTTAAAGCCGGTGCCGGCGTGTGTTTGAAGTTTTTGAGTTTGTATGAAGTCACTTGAAAATATTGAGAGCTTATTTTATCATTTACACAAGTTCCACTGAGCTAACTGTTTTCGAAATGTTGATAGACATTTAATTTGAAGCAAACGAGTGTAACACATCTATACATATGTATATTTACGCAAAATAATTTGACTGACCCGATGACTTCATCAGAAGCTAACTATTTAAAGAGAAAAAGACATTTTACACATAAAAACATACATATATAAACGGGGCGGGGTGTATACTTGAGAATAGAAGCCAACCTTAGTAATTACATACAAAACTTTGTATTTATGTGCAGTTTGTGGACGCACCTGTACAGGCCCATGCCGTTCTCGGCGACGAGCTGCGAGTGCGGGCTGGCGGCCAGCGCGCTGGACGGCCGCTTGCCCGCGCCCGGCGCCGGCTTCATCTCGTACGGCTTGAACCTGGCGAGCGACATACCTTTATATACCTACACTAGCGACTCACCCCCGGGTTCATCCCTAGACAAAAGCAAATTATCCCACAGGGAAACTACATTTTTCGGGATGATATAAAGCCTTCCTCAATAAGCGGGCTATCTAATGCAAAAAGAATTTTTAATCAGATCAGTAGTTCCCTAAGATTGTATACAGCCCTTTTTAACGTCCCACAGCAGTGGGACAAGCAAGGTGCAGCCTAGCAAGGTGCGGGTGTGCCTCCACATCCTTGCCTTCAATCTCCATTACGCTGGCCAAGTACAAATTAGCGGACTTCACATATCTTTTGAGTTTTAAATTCTATAATTTTCGTAGAGAAAAAAGGTCAAACCGATTTTTTTAATAAAATTTAACGACCCATCTCCGTCGAGTCTTCTCCATTCTTCATTCTACGTGACATTAGCGAAGTAAACTGTGCTCAACTGACGGGTTTTGAAGCCATAATGGCTTGTTAATATAAAGCAATTGAATTTAGAAAGAAATTGAACATCACGTCAAAATAAAGCTACTAAAATTTCAGCTTGATAAGCTTTATTTTTAAAAATGTCTTAGGCATCTCGAAGGGTTAAAGCTTAGCTAACATAATTAATTTACGACAAACAGATAACTTACCTAATATTATTGGTGTGCGAGTTATTGTGTGCTGCGTTGGGCTCGCCGTTTTCACTGTAGGCGGGGTACTTGTGGGGGATGCTCTTGTAGCACGTCGCGCAGATCTGCACCATGCCTGGAATGCGCATTATCGTCTGTGTATGTTTATTTAACAACGCGTTTGGCTCTGTTTGTAGTGCCATCCTACTTGCTGTGCCAGCGGTCGCGGGTTCGAGTCCCGCTAGGGGCATTCATTTGTGTGATAAGCACGAATGTTTGTACTCTAGTCATGGGCGTTTATATTTATAATATGTATTTAAAATTATATATGTGTAGTGTGTCAACTATCTGGTATCCATAACAAAAGCCTCGTAGCTTATGATAGAACTAGATGGTGCTATGTGTTAACGTCCCAATATATTTATTTATTTATACCAGTGGGGCATTTCCGTTATACTCTGTATGTATGTGTGTATATTTCTTACTCTTTCACGCTAAAACGGCTGGATGGATTTGGATGGATTTGGATTATTTGACGAATTTAGTACACATAATATAAATTATCTTAAACTCGTAATATTAAAATGAACCATCCTTGGAGATATAAATTTATTTCATGTACCTTGGCTCTAATGATTTGGATCAAATTTCGTAAATCGTATTTAGATAAGGTTTATATTTTAAAGTTTATCCATATAGGGTGTGTTTTCTAAAAAAAACCCAATTTTTATATCTTTCCCGAAAAAAAACACCGAGCGAAACTTGGTCGCCCTGATACTAATACACATATAAATTGCGACAAATATCTGACCTTGCGGACTAATCGGACTCGCGTCCGGATGGGGTTTGAGTGTGGTGATGAAGGGGTAGTAGGGCTCCCTCTCGGGGTTGGCACAGCAGTAGACCAGCCTCAGCTGCGAGCTCGGCGCCGACACGCCGCACACGTAGCACACGAAGCTGGCCGTCGTCTGTGAGGGCGGACGGTCCAGGGAGGGGGAGTGCGCGTGCGTCGCCACCGACTTGTCGCCGGACGAGGCCAGGCTGAGGGGCGAGGGGGGCAGGAGGGACGGGGGCCGCGTGCGGAGGGTGTACACGCGCTCCTGTGCGGGCACCGCGCGCATCTGTAAACAAAATAAGAGAATACTAAAATTGTAAGTATAATTTTTATATATATATATATATATATATATATATATATATATATATATATATATATTATCTCGACGTTTCGAATGCTTAACAGTAAATATGGTTACGGGAACAAAAATATATAGAAAAATGTATTTTTTTTACATATACATATACGGAAAACAATAATATAAATAAATAAAACGTCAAATATTGCAGTAGTCGGTCAAATATTTGAGTAAATATAAGAATAATTAAAATTAAAATTAAAGAAATATTAAGACAAAAATAGAAATTTAGATTTATCTCTTAGAGACACTTTAGGGCCAAGGTTTAAAAATTTCACGAATAACTCTAGAACAAAAATCATAAAATATAATCATAGAATTAAAAGCGGCTGCGTTTCCTCATAATAAAATGTCATAGGACATTCATTAAGTTATAGAAATAGCTGAAATATAATGTGCAAACCGTTTCCATTAATAAAAAATCTAATTTTACTATGGCAGATAATAATTGAATCCCTATTATACTTTAGATGCCATAGTAATACATAAATATAGTTAATATTCCACCCCACTGAAAGTCTATATCCAGACCATGTATATCATATGGCAGAACCCTAGCGGTATAACATATTCATAACAAAACGTAGCATATATATACAAACATACAAACACCTCCTTTTTGATATCAGACAAAGAATCACAATTATTTTTTTTAAGATAAAATTTAGTTGATAAGCCATGAAAATATACCTCGTTATGCAATAAATAATTAATTAATCAAAGCTTAAAAGATAATTCTCCTTGACGAGAATAAGTAAATTACTAGATGATTACATAAAAATGATTGATGATGCATTTAATTAAAAATGAATATCTAGCAATAGCCTAAAAGCAACTTAAAATTCAATTTAAATCAAATTTACATCTATCATAAATAAATGCAATTATTACAAATGTGCTAATTCGTTAATAAACATGTTTGGGCACAGATAGATACAATAATTTATCTCATAAGCTGACGTCTGGTAAACCCCGAACACGATATAGAGATAACGCCGTAACGAGATAGGTAAATTTTATCGTTAACATTAATACTTATCGTTTATTAAAAGAAGGCCTTGTAATGTTAAACATCCTAAATCATATAAATGACTATGATAATAGCATAAAGCTTATGGAAGAAGTAGCCTAGTGGCAACGTGCTTGCTTAGAAAACCAGGTGAGGCGGGTTCGAACCCTGGTTAGATAAAATACTGATAATGCAACAAGATTACCACTTGCGACTTATAAAACAAAACATCGTAAGGAAATCTGCATGTCAGACAGAACCTAAGTAGTTATCGAAAAAAATTTAAAATTTGCGAACCCTACGCCTCTACGCGACCTATCTATGGCCTCATAGTATTAAAGGAAGGCTGTTGCCTTGCAGTAAGACATTTAAATGCAGCTGAATATATACACTAGGATAAAAAATCTATCGGAACAAAAAAAACCTTAACTATATTAAAAAAAAAAAGATTCCAATTAAGAAAAGAATTTAGGTATTGTTATTTCCAATAGTTTAAAAAAGTGGGCAAAGTTTGTTACAAAGTTTACTCACTAGATTAATGAGCAAAAGTTTGTTCATTTAATTAGTGGACAAACTACGTATCATATAGCTAATCTAATAGTTAATCGATCAATTTTCGACACCACAAATCGAGAACATTCACGTGACCGCGGACGTAGCTCTATGCGATGGGTTATCGTGGCAGTGTCGAGCGTTAATGATATGGTTATCAAGTATTATGATACAAATAAGTTCAATTATTGACTTTACGAATGGACGCATTTGTTTATCTTTGTACTTTATACATAGATATATAGACGTGGCTCTTTGATGCTACCCTGTGGAACACCACAATAATGAAACAACAATGTCACACGAATTTAGTTTTCTGATAGCCAATGTGAAGAACAACCTTTCGACAAATTTGAATGTAAATTTTTGATTTTAACTAAAATTTAACATTCATTATATCGATTTACGGTTTTTATTTTCTTGTTTGTTTGGGAAATTTATTTAACAGGAACAAACAAGCTTAAGCTTTAAACTTTTAACGGAGTCACATCATTTCGCACCATAGTGTGATAAAATTATAATCTATAATAATTTAATTATTACCCGACTGCTCCAAAAGTAGAAAAAGTGTTGTGAATAAACCACATACAATTACATATGTATGTAATCGGCTTGATAGAAATTAAGATGTTTTTTTTTGTTTAATTGGTTTAGTTGTGGAACAAACCAAAAAAAAACAAAAAAAAAAAGAAAGAAAGAATAAATAATAAACGAATACTGCTATCAATCAAAAATTCATAAATTGCTGGTCTGGTGTGATGTACAACTGTGTATACTAAGTACCTACTACCAACATTTGCATGTATGTATGTACATATATGCTAACTTTTGTATGCAAATAAATATGTATGCTAGAATTTTTATATACAGTCGGGGAGCCAGTGTTTTTATTTATCTCAAAGATTTTCATTATATGTACTTTTGTCCTTTGAACCGTAAATATAATTTCTTAATAACATAACAATATACCTATACAAATTATATATAATTAAATAATATGTAGTTAAATATACAACGAACCGACCACGCCGTTGGGATTATTATCAATGTCAGTCGTATAGAAATCGGTTAGAATTTTTTAAACGCGAGTTAATACATAAATAAATAGAAATACTTTCCTCATTTTCTACATTACACTTCTATGTCTACACTTATTGCTTCTTCTTATTAAAAATTAAAGACTATTCTTTTCTTACATGACGCCTTATATTATAGTAACGCTACGCATTGAATTACAGAAGATAACTCCAAACTGACCCTTTTTAGACCCGAAGAAAAATTCTTTATACTTAACAGAAAGAAATAAGAAGTAGTCGAACCCATGATCACCGACAAACGCCGTTCCACCCAACTTTACTTCCACAAAAACAAAATAATCAAAACTCCCTAATCATTAAACATCCCATTAAGACCTTAATAATAAAGGCTAAAAACATACATTATATAAATACGTATATATAAAAAAAACAAGCAAAACCTGTACATACAGCTAGTATAAATCGCAATAAATTAATCACAATATGTGAACTTGTAGAACTGTTTCGTAACGTGCGACCCCACCGGCCGTTCGACGGTCGGGCTATCTCCCGCGGTCGGGTCAGCCGACAGAGATGTGCTTTCATCTCCGACAATAAGTATTAATTGCAGTGGCATTAAGTGGAAGATTTTATCATTGGGACAAAGAATCTACTGAGTGGAAGTTGTATATATACGAGTATGTAAATATTATAAGCTAACTTATGTCCGTAGCATCGCTAGTGTGTATTTTATTTAATTTTCGACAAATAAGAATTAATGGCAGATTCGGAGGTCATAGGTTCGTTTCCGGATCGGTTTTGGTATTGAATATTACTTTCGAGAAATTCTCAATGATCGCTCAGAGTTGAGAATTTGGCGGTTTTACCCCTTTGCCTCGGAGAACATGTAAAGCTGTGTTCCTGCACCTGATCTCTAACACGAAGGTCGAATTGTCGGGCCATCAGAGTATGGGAGTGACAGGAATAGAATGAACGTTTACGGGAATACTTATGCACAATTGTATGTATGTCTTGCGCAAAGGCCGTCGTGGTCGATATCAGTATGGGAGAATAGTAAGCGTCGATTCTTGAGCAATACCGATTAAAATAGACAGATAACATAAAATCTGTAAAAATAATTCCGCATATAGATTCATATACAACTATAAATCCGTTACAATTTTGTTATAGATAAAGATACCGAAGATAGCAGATAAATAACACTAAAAACGTGATAGGCATACGTTCTCAAGGTTTTACGAGATAAGTATAGAGTGGTCCAATTTAAACATCGATGAGAAAGATTAGTTAACATCACGTCACTCAGTACCGGTTATAATACCATACCCCGTACTAAAAATGCCTTGTATAAATTATCATATCATATTATCTAGATTATAAAGCGATATCGTTAACTAAGCGATATCGATGAGGTTGAAAATTGATGAGATAACAACATATTCTTAAACAGTTATCTGTTCTAATTCATTTTATTTCCAAACATATAACTTTGCTGTCGAGTGCTAATTCATAGAAAATAACGTGCATAAAGTGAAATAACACTTTGATTTATTTATAACTAGCAACTTTCCGTCGCTTCGCTCAGATGCGTCCCTAAGCTTGAATGGTTTAGGGACGTATAAAAGTGTAACACATATAGGACAAACATACGAACATACATTTTTATTTATATAGATTGTTTAATACAATACCCTATCAACTTTTCTAAAAAAAACATAGATGATGGCATACTAGCGACGAATCACATCATACAGTAGTTATAATAAAACGCGGGTTTAAACTGTTAGACGTGTAAAATAGAATGCGGAAGCAATTCCTGTCCAACATGATGATGAGTATAATGATAAGTTGGAAAGAAACTATTACATAAAACAAAGTCGGGTTTGTTTAAACACTTATAACTCGAGAGCGGCTGATTGGTTGGATTTGTCACGGCCCCGAGTAGCAGAATGACTGTTAAAATATCGGAAAAATTCAAGAAAAAAAAAATTTACATGGCTAACGATGAATAATAACTATTTATGTATATCTAATTGAAACGTACCTATTAGTGAGTCGCTAGTAAAGGTATAAAACAAAGTCGGGTTATATACACCATTTATAACTCAAGAACGGCTGGACCGACTTCTAGGGTGTTTGATTTATTTGATTAGTCTTCACTCCCAATAGCAGAACAGCTATTAAAATATCAGAAAAATCACAAAAAATATATATGGCTAACGCTGGCTAATAACTATTCATATCTTTTTAAAATGTATATTGGGACGAACCCGAGCGAAGCGAGGGTGAGCCTCTATTACATACATAATACTTATTACGTATATAAA